TCCTTCTGGGGAGGGGCCTCTGGAACCCTGGCTCCGGCGGAGTGTAGGGAGTCGCTGAAGCCCCGCCGTGGCCGTGTTGCCGGCGGGCGGGGTGAGGAGCGCGGAGTTCTTCCGCCAGGTTCTCTGGGTGGGTGTCAGGAAGGTTTGGGTCCATCTCCAGGCAGGGCCGTTAAGTTTGGAATTTGGGTGAGTTGGGGGCTTCTCGCAGGACAGCACTGCCACGCTGGGCGGTGGGTCTCACGCCGGGTCATCTGGGGAGAGCGTCCAGGTGAGGGTGACAGGACAGGGAGTCAATTCCTGCCGGTCTTGGGCCCTGGGAACCTTTGAGCTGTCCCTGCCCAGATGCTGACTTCCCTTGGTGGGCCAGGCAGGACCCCCGACTGTGAGCTGTGAACTGCTGCTTTGAGTCCTACAGTGCACTGTCCTCTGGGGTCCCTGTGGCCCTGTAGCCCTGACCGCCCCCTCTCCAGTCCCCGCGGGCCCCTCTTCTAGCTCTGTGGCCCTGGCCCACCTACAGCCTCGCATCTAGGAGAGGCCACGGTGGTGTACGGTTGGTAAATTGAGGCTCTGCTCACAGGGGACTTGAGCTTGTCAGGCGTGGGGAAGCCCCCGAGCTCAGCTGCTCATCCAGTGTCTATTGTTGGGGCACCAGGCTTGGGTCGGGGGGCTGGAAACCCTCTGAGGAGGCCTGAGCTGGAGGCGGAGGCAGAGGAGGGCGGGCCTGCCCATGCTGATGCCAGGGTGGATGTGGAGAGCCACACCTAGCACCCATGGGTCCAGCAGGAGGAGGTGGGCTCTGCCTCGGTGGAGGCAGGAGGCGGGGGTTGGGGGCTTCCTGGAGGAGGGGGCCCATGAACCCGGCCTTAAAGGATGACTAGGACTTGGCTATAGGGAAGGTGAGGACAGACACTCAGGGTGACGAGAGGACCCTCTGTGTGGGAGGACGCTTCCCTAGGGCTGGGGTGGGGACTGAGTGGGGGTGAGGAGGGAGGGTGGGCCCATCTGGGAGGGGCCTTGCCTGGAGCAGCTCCTCCCCTCCCGCCCAGCCTCTCCCTGGGCCTCTGGGCGGGAGCCCAAGTGGGCAGCGAACTGTGGAGCTCTGCCAAGGTCACTGGGGATGGCCGGTGATCCTCCTAGCGCTACCTGCTACCGACCGGTAATGAGAGGGTTTCCATTATTTTCGGGTGAGTGCCCCTGGCAGATGCCGACAGCCAGCAGATGTGTGAGGTCTGAGGTGATTTGCAAGGGACTGGCTCATGCGATGTGCGGGTAATTGCACCAGGCGACGCTGTCACTCAGGGGCTTGTCCTGGCCTGCCAGGATGAGGTAAAGGTCAGTTCAAAGAACCCCTGTGACTCAGGAGGTGGAGGCAAACCCCCACCCTGTCGGGGCTGCTGGGGCCGGGCGGCCTGTGGAGACAGCACTGTGGTCTTGGGGCCCTGCGCTGGGCCTCAGGTACCTGCGGGAGAAGCCCTGTTCTGGGGTTCTGGGTGTTGGGAAGGATGTGGGTAATAACCTGAAGCAGAGCTGGCCCTGCGGGGATGCTGAAATCCCTGGGGCTTGCGCCCCGCCCCATTGGGGGACCCTGGCCAGCTGTGCCTGATGCCCTGCGGGCTCAGGTTTCCCTGATATCGGCAGCCTCCAAGGCCACAGCTGTGACGCTGGCAGCGCCCCCACCAGGAGGTGCCAAGACTAGGTTCCTTAACTGAAGTAGTCTGTTCTGATGCCAGAGCAAAACCCATGGGCGGAGCGGGGAGGGGCGTTTAAACAACAGAAATGTACTTCCTTAGTTTTGGAGACTGGGAAATCCAACACTAAGCCGTCCACGTGGTCAGCTTCTGCGAGGCCTCTCTTCCTGCTGGTAGGCGCTGCCTTTTTTGCTGTGTCCTCACGTGGCCTTCTCTTGGGGAGCGGGGGAGGGAAACACCTGCTGTCTCTTCTTGCAAAGACACTAACCCTATATTAGAGCCTCACCCCTGCGACCTCAGTTAGCTTTCACTACCTCCTTCGAGCTCCTGTCTCCAAATGCAGTCACCTTGGTGGCTAGGGCTTCAAACATGAATTTGGGGGACACAGTTCAGTTCATAGCATGATCCATTCAGGGTGTCACCTTTGGTGCTCACCATCATCTTACTTTCTGTCCCCCAAGTGCACACAGGGGGACAGTGTCAGTTTCCCTTCCTGTGAGGTACAGGGCTGAGCAGAGCTGGGCCTATGTTCCTGAGCAGAGCTGGGGAGGCACCTCCCTTATCTGCAAAGTGGCTGCCTTTGCTTGGGTGTGAGGGTCTGTGCATTCCTGCATAGCCAGGTAAGGGTTCGTTGGCTTTGCTTCTTATAAGCCTTGTGACCTTGTAGGCCTCTACCTCCTGCAGCCTCTGTTTCCTCTTCTCTAGAATGGGGTGATGGTTCTTTCCCACTCACTCACTTAGCACACTCACTCACTTAGCACTTACTTAGTGCCTCAGCAGGCCAGGTGCCTGGGGGTGTTTGTAGGGAACATAAGCCAATGGCTCTGCCCTGGGGAGTAAGGGTATACGCTGATCAGGACCCTGAGCCCCAAGGCTCATAGTTGGACTTTACAATTTTAATAAATAATGTACATTTATGAATTTCAGTTGTTAAGAAAGATGAAGAGGACATGCTCATTGCGGATGTCAGCGGTGGTGATGTTATCAGGAAGGGATGTCGGGAGGCACGGATGGACAGACTTCCCAACCATTTCCCACCAGATTTTTCAACATCTGATTCCATCTCTTAAAACTAGTAGATTTGGGGGCCTCCCTGGTGGCCTAGGGGTTTGGTCTCCGCATCATCACCTCAACAGCCTGAGTTCGATCCCTGGCCAGGGAGGTGGCCCACCGATCCCTGGCCAGGGAGGTGGCCCACATGGTGCAGCAGACCTCTCCTGTCTCCCTACTGCTCCCCTCAGCAGTGTATTTCAGTGGATCCAGCTATTCTGTTCCCCACTCTGTCTCTGGTGACTCCTCTCAACCCCGCACCTCTGCCCTACACCCTGTTCTTCTATGCAAAAATAAATAAAATCTTAAAAAATAAATAGAAGTAGTAGATTTGGATTGAAAAGCTCAGGTTTTGGGGGAGCTTATGTGGGTCTTGCCAAGACCATGGCCTCAGCATCGCGAGAGCGCTGGGTACTCACTTTCGCACGGGCCTCTGAAGTGGTGGTGGGAATGGCAGGTGTGAGGTGCTGTCATCCCACTGTCACACGGATTGCTCACTGTTCTGAGAAGGTCAGATCATAATTCATTAGCAATAATTAGTCCCCTGGCTCCCCTGCACTTCTTCACTCAACTGCTCCATTAACCTGGGTGTGAATCACACATCCAGGGCGCCAATCAGCGGAGAGCTGTCCGTAACATACAAGGTGATGCTATTAGTTACAATATATTAACTGCCTAATTTAAAAATACAAAAGCTGTCTTTATGAAGGGCAATTAACCACTAAGTGTAATTGATAATTCATAACCCTCTGATTAGGAAAGACAAATACTAAGAAAGGACTGAATCACCTGGGCTGGGGATTGGACGTTGGCAGCCAGGCGTGCGTCCGCACTGTAGTCAGCTGCAGCCTCCTTCCCAGCCGCACCGTCAGCCCCAGTGTGTGCATTCAGGACGCTCATGCTAACTTGGGAGTGTGTGTTCTCACCACTGACTTCTGGGTGTTGCTGCCAAGCTCTCGAGGCTGCAGGCTTGGTACCCCTGGGGGAGGCGTGGTCGGTGTGGCCCTAGAAAGGGTCACCTGGAGAACCCACCACTCAGCCCGCCCTTGTTGGGGGCCTGCTCTGCCAGGAGTCCTGTTGCAGCCATGGGGAGGGGCTGGGCCCCAGTGGACCCCGATCCCGACCTCATGAGCATGCAGGGAGACAGCAATTACAAAGGCACTCTCCTCAGTGACCTTCCTCTCCAGCCTCATTTTCCAGCTCACCTTTTTGCCTGCCAGCCGCCCAGGGGGTGGGGCTGCACGCATCTGCTCCTCCCTTGCCCCGCCCACCTTCCCCAGCCAGCTCCTTGTCCTCTGGCAGACTCCAGGTGGCCCCCGCCTTCTCTCATCTGGGACCTCATCTGGGACCACAGCGCTGTCTCCTCGGACCCCTCTGCTCTGCGGGCTCTCTGGGCTGCTCTGGGTGCACATGACTCGACAGACAGTCCAGGTTCTGTGTCAGGTCAGGCAGGAAATAGCCCACATCCCCCAAGTCCCAGATCCAGGAACAGAGCACTTGACCTCTCCGAGCCCCCGCGTGCTCTGCATACAGCAGGTTAGAGTCGTCCCGAGGGCTGAGGTGGAGCTTCATTTTTAGATGGCTCTCACTTCCCAGCCCGGATGGAGGTTGATTTCAAGCCTGAGCATCTGTGTGTTCCCTGTGGACGTGGGGCCACGTCGGTAGACACAGACTCGGGCCACGGCAGCCGTATGTAGGTATGTACTTCTAAGTAACAAATCACGCACTGAACCCTGCTGCTGCAGGTGGTGACTGCGGGTAGGCCTTTCCCCGTGACAGTGACAGCTTGGCCGCTCGGTCTTTGCGCTTTTCGGGAATGTGGGCGCCGAGTTAATAAGTCGCGCACTTAGGTAGTTCCAGATGCCAAGTGGAGGTGCCGATCGTGGAACGGCTCAGAGAAGTTGTTGCCAACTTTCAGGGGGGACCTCTAGCCGGGCAGCAGGAGGGCGTGGTGGAGTGGGTGGGGGTGGGTCTCCCCTGAGAACAGTGCTGGTGGAGAGGTGCAGGGCAGGGAGGTGGTGGGCGAAAGGCAGGTGGGAACCTTGCGGAATCTCGGGTATGTCAGCTCAGTGAGGATGCAGAGGAGGGCGGAATCCAGTCTGGGTCCCCTGAAAAGGCCCTGCTCCAGCGCCGAGTCCCAGCCAAATACACTGGGGCCAGTCACGGCCGCCTCAGGCACTCGGGGTGGCCCGACCTCCCCCCTGGGACTGTTCTGCCGACCCTTGTTGCTCACAGCACCTCGGCCTGTGTCCTCACCCGCAGGCTGAAGCGGTCCGGGCTGAAGGTCAGGTTCTGCACCAACGAGTCGCAGAAGTCCCGGGGAGACCTGGTGCAGCTGCTGCGGCGCCTGGGCTTCGACATCTCCGAGGGAGAGGTGACCGCCCCCGCCCCGGCCGCCTGCCTGATCCTGCGGGAGCGAGGCCTGCGGCCCCACCTGCTCGTCCACGATGGTAGGCCTGCGGGTCCGGGGACCTGGTGGGGGAGGCGCCCCTTTCTGAGTGGGGCTGGGGGAGGATTCCAGGCCACTATCGCCTGGGCCAGACCATTGGGAGGGGCACAGAGGTGGCACCTGGCTGCTGGGTGGTGGAAACCTGTGGCCCTCATAGAGAGGGTCATCAAGGCAGGTTTCAGGTGACTCCTGAGAGGAAAACCCTGGACTAGCTGCGCATGTGTGTGTGTGCGTGCGTGTGTGTGTGTGTGTGCGTGTGTGTGTGTGTGTTCTGTAGCCTGGGCTGTATCTGTGACTCCAGTCTGGGTCTGCTCTGTATCTGCTCTCTGGCAAATGAAACATGTGATATTAGTCTAAATGCAAGTCCCTTTGACCCTCAGTCGGGAGCTTTTCTGGTAGGAAGCAGGAGGAGCTGTGATATCTGGCATCTTATAAATATTTAAAAGAGGCACAGTGGTGCTTCCACATTCAGGACATCACCAAAAAGGGAAAAAAAACAAAAACACAACTGACAACACCCCAAAACACCCAAAACAAGTTCAGGATACCTGTGCTTCCATGTGCCCCTTCCTTCCCTCCTACCCTCCTACCCTCCCTCCCTCCCTCTTAATATTTTGATTGACAGGCCCCTGGCAGAGGCGAACATGCTTTTCCCCCTCTGGCAGGAGTGGGGGATCCGGGAGGTGCAGGCTGCTCTCCTGGCTGGCCCCCGTGTCAGACATGCACCTTTGGAGCTAATTGCAGCAACTTGCCAGTACTTAGAAACCTCTTTTCTCCAAGTTCTTAAAGGAAGAGGCGACTTTCTTGAGGGGTGGTGAGCCAGGCTGGCACAATGAGCTTCTGCCCCTTTTCAGGTTGTAGCTGTGTCCCTGCAGCCCATCTCCAGTGGGGTTTGGCTGCACAGTGCACCAGGTCTAGAAAGCAGCCTTCTTTCCCCTGCATCTGGGAACCTGTGTTCTGCAGACAGATTGCCCTTCTGTAGCAAAGTTCTGGGTGTCCTGCATGGTATTAAACTAGGGGAGCTCCTGCAGCTACTGCTGGTGTTGGGATTGGGGTTTAGGGGTCCTCTAACAAGCTAGCTATAGACTATGGAGTGGGACTCCTTCATCTGTAAGTGGTGAGAGCGCCTCTTCCTGGCCCACCTCCCATGGCAGCTGTGAGGACCCTCAAGAGTTAGTGCTTCTGAGAAAGATATAGGGCAGAGGGCAGGCGGGGCTCCCTGGCAGGGGACAGGACACAGGCGGCCACATCACCCTGGGCTCGACCTCTCCTGCTGTCTTTCCAGGAATCCGCTCAGAATTTGATCAGATTGACACATCCAACCCAAACTGCGTTGTGATTGCAGACGCCGGAGAAGACTTCTCTTACCAAAACATGAACAGAGCCTTCCAGCTGCTCATGCAGCTGGACAACCCTGTGCTCATATCACTGGGGAAAGGGTAAGTCGGCTCCGGGAAGAGCTGTTTCTGCCTGCTTTGTGCGTCTTCACCTGCAGAGACATGCAGTGGAGAGTGCAGGGGTGGGGAGGGCCTTCCTGTCCCTCGCTCACCCTTTTTTTTCTCTTCATTTTTTCCTTCCTTTCCTTCACCGTTTGTGGAAGTTAGAATCTCCATCCTCAGGAGCTGCTGCACAGGTGCCACGCTGGGCGAAGCCGTGGAGGGGAAGGTCATTGTGATGGAGGCCGCTTGGGGGTGTTGCCTGTCGAGGTGCATTTGCCCAGGATACAGCACAAGGCATTGAGGGGCAGGGCCAGGTGACACCTAAGAAGTGAAACCCAGACTGAGTGCCCCTGGGGTCCCTGGGCCAGCCCCAGCTCCCCCAGAGCACGGCACCTGTAAATTTGTGATTTTGTCAGTTTTTGTCTGTGCTTTTATTGATAGCACGGCTTCACTGTTTCTCTCTTGTCACAAACCCATGTTGGTTTTTCTTAATGTCTTTGACCACCGAGACAGCCCATGTTCATCGGAGACGCCGCAGAGCATGCCGCTGGGCAATGCGCAGGACAGCGCTTCCTCCTGCCGCGCCCGCGTGAGCCGCAGCCCTTCTGCACGCGTCCTTCCAGGTGGCTTCCCACACCAGGGACCGTGACAGAGGCGCAGGCTCACAGCGCTGCTCTCAGACTTGCCCTCATTTCATCCTGGCTTTTTATTTTCACCAAACAATATTACGTGAACGACTCTCCACGCAGCACCCAGGCTGGCCCTTGTGTGGCAGCCATTTCTTAACCAACCCTGGCGGATGGGCAGTTAGGTTGTGTCTGATTTTCTGCCAAGGCACTTTGTGCATGTCAGATGATGGGTGTGGTTGGGGTTCCTGATGCACGTGGCCCAGTGCTTTCCAGATAGCTGTGCAGTGTTGTCAACACATCTGGTTTCAACAGAAACCACTCTGGAACTTTATAATCCCAGGCAAGGACACTGTGGCACCCTGCCCAGCTTCTCCTGCAGCAGGGGATTGTGGGCCTTCTCTGTGAAAGCCTTTCCCAGCTTAGGTACTTCTGGTGCCTGAGACCTGCTCCCTTTTCCTGGTAAAGGGAGGGACTTTTCACCTGGCCACTAGCTATCACTGCTTCGTTTTGTCTTCCAGTTTGTTTAGTTCTAACCACAGCTCTGTGAGCAGTTGGCAATGTCACTGCCATTTTGGTGGCATATGGAGGTGTAGAGAGCTGGAAAAGTGGCCCCCCAGTCAATCCGTGCTGGCAGGCCAGGCCACAGGCCACCAAGAGCTCATCCCTTGCAGGCCACATTGGATAGCAGATTTTGCCCACACAAGATCTTAAATTTTTTGAGCATGTGTTTTAAAATTAGGAGATTTTATATAACATATCCAGGTTACTGAATTATTCTGAAAAATCAAAAAATCTGGCAGTATTGGGCGCCACATTCCCAGAGCTTAGCTGGAGTCACTGCCTCAATTAGTTCCAGCTCACCATAGTTCCCACCACTCCCTATTGCCTCCTCCAAGCCTCAGAGTCAGTTGCCAATTTTCTCGTACTGTGGGTTGCCTCTCTCAGAATAGGAAACTATTTTTTTATGGCTGTGTCTCTATCAAGATAGGCAAATGAGCTCTCCGGCTCACAGGTGCCATAGTCACCTGGGACTCTTTCTTTCTCCTTTTCCTAATAAACCTGTGCTTTTTTTAATTTTTTATTTTTAAAGATTTATTTATTTATTTATTTATTCATATAAGCACTGGGTACAGTCAGAAGCGCGGGAGGGTGAGAGAATTCACCAGAGCGGGAAACAGAACAGGCAGGCCAACGAAATACACTGCTGAGGGGAGCAGCAGGCGTGGCAGGAAAGGTCTGCACGCCATGTGGGACCCTCGCCTGTGGCTGGGTATCGAACCAGTGCTGCAGAGGCTGCGGGCAGCTTTGCAGCCCAGCACTCAACCACTGTGCCACCAGGGGAGGCCCTAAACCTGACCTATTAATGTAAAAAAACAAAAAACAAAAACCCAGGCAAATGAAAGATATTTCAAGAAAGAAAAGTGAGGATATATCTCTTTTAGGAAGTAAAAGTATTCTCTCTAGTGTGTTTATCATATGAGTAAAATGTGTCCTGTAATTAGTCAGAAACAATAGGATGTGGATATGTGTGTAGAGAGGTTGGGTTGAGAAGGCAGGATAAGTCCAACATCTGCAGGACAGACCAGCAGACCAGAGACCCAGGGAAGAGTTGCAGCAGCTGGCAAAATTTCCTCTTGCTCCTAGGAAGTCAAACTCTTTTCTACGCAGACCTTCAACTGATCGGACGAGGCCCATCACACAATGGAGCACAATCTGCTTTATTCCAAGTTCACTGATTTCAATGTTAATCTCCTCTAAGAAGTACATTTACAGAAACACTCAGAATAACACTTGACCAGTTATATGGGTACCTTGACCCAGCCAGGTTGACACAAAACTAATGGTCCCTTTCTAACCTTACAACCTTCTGCATTTTAGGTCACTGCAGAGCCTGGCCTGCTTAACTCATTTACATTCCATATTTGCTTCTTTAGGCATTTGAGTTAGCAGCTGCTACCTGGAGAATAATATCATTCAGAAACCTGTAATTTATGTTAAGGCTTTTTTCTTTTAAATTGTCACTAATTATTAAAAGATTTTAGCCCAGACTATGGGTAATAGTTAAAATAGATATGCTGTTGAAAAAGAAAAAATAGTAGAGCAGTTGCTTTCAGCTCTGTAATTCTTTACCAGTAAAAGGCTAATGGTGTCTGTAGCTGATGGGGCTCTGACCTGGCCCAGGGTGGGTGCTCAAAGGTTGGAGAGGCCTAGGTCACAGCTTCTCGGGAAACCCTGAGGACCCTTGCAGCGCTGCCTTCATCTCCGCATGGGAGTTGGGGGTGGTGAGGGGCCGCCCCCCACCCACGCAGTGCCCCCCAGGAGGCAGAAGGGAGGAGGCACTGGGGCAGAGTGTCCTCCTGGAAACAGAGTGATTTACATTTGGCATCTGTTTGGACCGAGAGTGGGAATTGCCTTTGTAATTTCTCCTGTCATGCTACCGTCAGAAAATTAAGCTGTTTACGCGACAGACGATGGAAGGTTAATGGCTCTTGTGGGAAAGGTCAGGTGGTCATTTTGAGGGAGGCTGTGCTGAATAACTGGGAAGGGCGGAAGACTCAAGCATGACGCTTATCTGACTGCCGCTCCCTGGCTTTTTCCTGTGGCGCGGCGCCCAGTTTCTTCGCAGTGGCTGGAGCCCTCAGGTTCTCCCCAGGCCCTCTTGTTGGTCATAGAGGGAAAACCTAGCAAGTCTCCTGTGTTTTGAGAATAACCTGGGTTATATTAAAAAAAAAAAAAAAAATTAACCTAGGGCCTTGTATGTTGTCTCTCTCTAAAAGTGTATTCAGCTAACCAGGGCCTCAAGATGCCTTTTGGTTTCCCTAAATGAATAAGAAACAAAATTCTGGGTAATAGAATAAGCCCAGATTCAGTGGAAAAAGAAATATTAAGCTTTCTAATTTTGCATTGCAGAAGTCGATTCTAAACTGAGTGTAACACAGGGAAGGTTTTGATGTGGATTTAAGCTGTGTGCTCGGGTTGTTCCTTCCACCAGGACTAACAGGAAATGTGAAAGTCCAGGTTGCTGTCACTTAGAGGGAAGCTGTGGGGAGCAGGACTGTGATGAACCCCACTCCTGCCGGCCCCAGGCACTGAAACTGGGCGTTGGGCCAGTGGCCCCCAGAATCCTCAGCTCCAAACAGGGCTGTGCCTGTTGCAACAGAGGAGCTTTGTGGTTTTGTTTGTTCCTTTGGTCTGGGGGAGCATTTCCTATGCTGGGGTGTTCTCTCCCCACCTCTGCACACGTCCCCGGTTCGCTTCACCGTGTTCAGTCTGGGAGGCCATCCATACACCCTGGGTCCTCCCCGTACCCCGTTCTCCCAGTCTGGGTTTGCACCGCGGCCCCCCTCCCCCCCAGCAGTCATCAGAGGTGCAGGTGCAGTTTGCTCCCCGGGTGAGGGGATGAAGGAAGTGAGGGGTTGGCTTTTGACAGAGGCCTAGAGCCAGTGGCTCCCAGTCTGGGCGCTTTGTCCTCCCCTGTGGAGGGTCCACAGCGTGGTTGCCCTTGTCACCACCCGTGTCCTCCCGTTGTGGCTTTTGCTGCTCCCCACTAGACTGGGAGCTCCCGAAGGGCAGCCTGGGCTGCAGTGCCCCCGATCTTGCCCTGGGCCTGGGGGGCAGCTGTGTCCCTAAGGTCAGGGGACTGAATTAACAGACACCAGCTGCAGTGCCCCTGATGGCAGGCCTGGCACCCGAGACTCCGCCCCCTGTGACCACAATTCCATGACTGTCACCTTCCTGTTTCCTTACACCTCTGGGCCTTGCTAAGGAAATCAGCCTTGCAAAGTCTCAAGCTGGAGAAAGTGCAAGGAGGGCGCAAGCAGAAAGTAATAGCTTGAGTAATAAAAAAAGTAGGGAGCGTATTGGAACCCTGAAGTCCTCCAGCTTCCCCCCTGCCTCTGGGCGGTTGATGTCTCCCACACTCGAAGGGCCTGGGAAGGGGAGAGGGGCGGCTGATGGGCTGAATCTCAAACCACTTTAATCATCCTGAGAATCCAACTCCATTCTTGTTCCCTGGGCTTTGGAGCGGCACGGATGACAGCGTGTTCGCCCTCCAAGTAGCCCATGGCTTGGTGCAGACAAACTGGCCGCGGCGCCTGTGTGTTCTAAGAGGTCGGGGGTGGGCCAGGATGAGGCCAAGCTCCAGGCCCAGTGAGTGCTCACGGGAGTCTCCAGCACGGGAGCCCGCAAGAAAGAGCTTTCTCGGGCAAAAGCATCTGGCATCCCCGCCACCTGGCACTTCTCTTAACCCCCGGCTAATGGGAGACGTGGCAGGGCGCTGTGGAACTAATAGAGTTTTCTTCTGCACACAGCAATTAGGGGTTAATTATTAGCAATTAGTGCTTGGTGGACCTGCTGTCCTTTCCCAGAACACAGGTCGCTTGCTTTTCTCTGTGGTTGCAACTGGATCCAGCTGCTCCTAGAGTCCCCTTTAATCATCGTGGCGGGGCTGGTGAGGCTGGCTGCAGGGGCCGTCCTGATGGAGGGCTGCTGGCCGCTGTCTCTCCCGCTGGACATGGTGGCTGCTCTGAGCTCTGCTTGCTCACCTCGTCCTTCATGCTCAGCCCGGCATCAGCTGACCCTCCTCTAGGGATCGGCTGTCCAGCAGAATTGGGATGGGGCGGTGTCCCCTGGCATGTCGCAGGCCCCTAGTCTCAGCTCACCTTGTCCACTCCTGTTCTTTTCTAGACGCTACTACAAGGAGACCTCCGGCCTGATGCTGGACGTTGGGGCCTACATGAAGGCTCTCGAGGTATCTGCCCTGACTCTGTCCCCACCCTCTTCAGCCTCAGTGCCTTCCAGGGTGTTTCTGGCCTCTATGGAGAAGGGTGTGCTGGTGTGCTCTGTCTGGGTTGCCTTTTATGCTTTCAAAGTCGCCCATCTCAGCAGACCAAGCACCCTCTTACTTCTGGAGCAAGGTCTCTCTGGTGCCTGGTCTTCACCCTGCTCTCCTACCCCTCCCACACCACCCCGTACCCGAGCTGCCTCCGGCTTGCTTTTGAACTCCCATATCTACGTAGACCACCCACCCCTTGCCCGCCCTGCTCATCTGCAGCACCTTGAGCTTGCCATGTCCTGATTGGATTCCTTCCAAACCCTCTCCTCCAGTTTTCAAGGCCCAGATGGGGCTCCCCAGTCTGCACACTAACCTGACCCACACCCCACCCAGGCCCTGTGCCATGCCCCCACTCAGCCCATGTCACTCCCCCTTCACTGCTGTGTTGGCCCCCTGCTCTCACGGTGGACACAGATGGGGGATGGATGGAGCCCTGGAACAAACCTGGAAGGCTGGGACAGAACTGGGGGTTGGGGGTTGAGGAGGCAGGAGTGCAGACGAGAGCACTGATGGGAGGATCCACTCGGTGTTTGAGCAGATGGCAGGGTCCTGAGCGTCCCGGGAAGCCCCACCAGATGTCTTGGCCCACATGTCCTGCCCCAGAGCCCCCTGGGCCCTGGGAGCACAACCAATCCCTGGAGGAAACCTACAGGTCGCATGTACACCTGTTACTTATTCCCAAACCCACGTGTGCCCTCTCTTTCCCCAGTATGCCTGTGGCATCGAGGCCCAAGTGGTGGGGAAGCCTTCTCCTGAGTTTTTCAAGTCTGCCCTGCAAGAAATTGGGGTGGCAGCCCACCAGGTAGGGGGGCCCCTTGGGGAGGCAGCTCTGTTGGGTGGGGGTGGGGGAGTAGAGGGCTCAGGTAGGGCAGCCTTGGGGCCTGCGGTGGGTTTGAGGGTTCCGCAACCTGGGGAGATTGGCCGGACTGCCGAGCGTGACCCCGTCCCCATGTGACCTGACTTGGCTGGAAAGGAGGAAAAAGGCTGCAAACCAGACCCACTGAATGTTTTGACCGGCTAACTAGCTTCAGTGTAGGAGTGAGAAACAAGCAGAAACCTGGAATGGGCTGCCCTGGCAGCGAATGGAAACAGCTTCACTGGAGAGACAGTCTACAGCAAAACTCACGCAACCTGTAAGAAATAAAATCATGCATCTTGCTACCTTTCCATGATGACTGTCTTTGACACAGGTTGCCTTGCAAACATACATCTTAAAAAGAAAAATCGCTTATAACTTTACTGTCTACAGCCCCCCCCCACACCCCCAGTGAGGTGGTTTGTCAGGAACCCCCCGGCCCGTGTCTGCAGCCCACCCAAGGTCTATTTGCTCATGACCAGGGAAGTGTCCACATCCTGTGGCCGGGCTGGTGTCCCCAGGCCGCCCCCTCACTGCTGGCCCTGCATGCTCTGGTCTAGAGCACTGTCCTCAGGGGTGCAGAGAAGGCTGGCTGGGAGGCCCCACAAGTCTGGAACCCGGGGTTCCTCTCCTAGATTCACAGATACCAGAAGGTCCAGGGCCTCGGGATTTCCAGGAAACACCCCAGAAGTGCCACAGTGGACTTGTGTGTTGAATGAACAAAGACACCAGGAATAACTTGAATTTTCACCATTTTATCTCATAAGGCAGAATTTCCTTTTAGTTTTTTATTTTTTTCAGTTTCAAGGTGGGAATTCTTTAAAAAAAAAGTTGTATTTTTTTTTATTGAGATTCTGTTGATTTACCATACATGTGTGATTTAGGGGTGCAGGTACCCACTTCTTCAGATATATGTTACCACACCCACCGCCAAAGCCCTCATCATCCTCCAAGACAGCCCATTGGGTCCCCTCCCCCTTTGCTCCCCACTCCTAGCCTCCCTCCACTGGTAGCCTCAATTCTTCAGGTAGATTTCTAGGGTTGGTTTGGTTTGGTTTTGTAATTTTCTTTGATTTTTTTTTTTTTTTTTTTTTGGCAGAACTGGGGTATAGGCCAGAGGCACGGGGAGGGCGGGGGTAGTGAGAGGATTCACCAGAGACAAAGTGGGGAGCAGAACAGGCAGCTCTACTGAAATACACTGCTGAGGGGAGCAGCGGGGAGACAGAGAGGTCTGCTGCGCCATATGGGTAGCTCCCTGGCTGGGGATGGAACTCGGGCCACTGCAATGGGCCTTCTCAGTGGTCACCCTGAGACTTAACCCCTAGGCCACTAGGGAGGCCCTGACCATCTCACTTTAAAAAATTGTTTTTTATTTTTCATTTTGAAATAATTTCAGACTTACAAGAAGATTGCAAAAATGGTGCAAAGATTTCCCCTTTTGCCCTTAACACAGCTTCCCCAAATGCTGCCCCCTTACATAATCCAGGACAATTGCAAACCCAGGAAACCAGCCTTGATACAAGACTGTGAACTAAGGTCGAGCCCCACGGTGTCACAGGCTGCCCTGGTGGCCTTTGTTGGGGACAGTTCCTCATCCTTGCTTTCATGGCGGTGTATTTTTGCAGTGCCTTGGGCAGTTACTGTGTGGAATGACCCTCGATTTGACTTTTTTCCTCATGTTTCCTTGTGATTCGATTCAGGTAATGTGTTCTGGGCAGGAATCTCACAGAAACAATGTGTGTCCCCCGCCCCGTACCCTATTAGGAGGCTGCTGATGTCACTTGCCCCAAGTTGTTCTCTTCCAACCTGGGAGGAGCTGTCTGCCCAGTGCCCGCTGCAGAGTTTCCATCTGTCCCTTTGGCACTGGCAGGTGCCTGTCAACTCTCCCCTTCTCATTTAGCACCTACTGTAATGCTCACCTGAGAGAGTTGTTACTGAGGAGTTGCCAAATGGTGGCTTTCTGTGGTTGGGCCCTGGGTTGTTTCGTGACCACTGGATGTGGGACTGCGTGTAAGATTTGAATTGGTGTCTTCACCTTCTTTGGGCAAGTGCTCAGAAGAGGGATAGCTGGGCCCCATGATTCATTTCCTTTTTTTTTTTAAAGATTTATTTATTTATTTATTTATTTATTTATTTATACAAGAGCTGGGGTACAGGCCAGAGGTGTGGGGAGTGAGAGGATTCCCCAGAGACAGAGTGGGCAGCAGAACAGACAGACTGACTGAAATACACTGCTGAGGGGAACAGCAGGGAGACAGGAGACGTCTGCTGCGCCATGTGGATGGTTCCCTGGCCGGGCATCGAACTCGTGCTGCAGAAGCTGCAGACAGCTTCATAGGTTGCATCTTAACCCTTTGCACCACCATGGAGGCCCCCTCATGATTCATTTCTTGAGGGGCCTCCATACTGTTTTCCGTAGTGACTACAGCAGTTTGCATTCCCGCCCACAGTGCATGTAGCTTCCTGGCCACATCCTCGCCAGCCCTTCTTATTTCTTGACTTTTTGATAACAGCCATTCTAACTGACATGAGGTGAACGCTCTTTGTGGTTTTGGTTTGTTTTTCCCAGATGGTTTGTGATGTCCAGCAAAACAGTGTGTAGAAGCCATCTCTGGGACAGTAATGGTTCCCTTTGCTGCTGGTCACTTGTCACGTCTGTGCCTCCTACTCGACAAGGCTTGGGGAAATACACATCTTTAAAATTCTGATTCAGATTCAGGTCTGTGGGCTTTTATTAATGTCATCAATCTGATATATTTATGTTTCTTTTTTCCGTGTTAGAGGTCTTGGCTCTCAAAAATACCCAATGCTCACTTCATTTGCTTGAGCTTATAACGAATCTCAGAAGCATGGTGCAGTGTGAAAACAGGGACACGGGAGAGTGCGTGCCTCCAGTAACCTTTCAGAGTCTCTGAGATAGTGCTGGCCTCCGGATTCTGCGCTGGTGGCCTGGACACTCAGGCTGGTCACGGGGTGGAAGCCTGTCTGTGCGTCCTGCTTACGAGTTCCTTTCCTCATTTTTGCTTTGCCTTTCTCCCTCCAGAGATTTTCAGCCACAACGTGGTATTTTAAAGCTGCCAGGACTCCTGTTCTGGGTGGTAGGCCGCTGACAGGAGCCTCTTGGAATTCACTTTACTTTCATGTTGTAGGGAATTTGTTCTTTAGCATTTAAGTTTCTTCTGTTGTTTCAAATACTATATTTCTGTGGTTCCAACGTGAAATCCACCAAACAAGCTACCTCTAAGGAAGTCTGGCTTCTGTCCTGTCCCTCTGTCCACCTGTCTCTGGTAGAGAGACATTTTTATAAATAATGTAACTTTTCTTTCCAGCTTTAAAATGCAAACAAGTCTGTATATATGTATATCCTACTCTTAGGATGAGTTTTAAGAGAATAAATTCTTAAGATAGCTTGTCGCAGAGTAGGACACAGCCGTTGTGTAGTGTGAATGAAAAAGCACCAGTGTTTGGACTGACCCAAGTGGATGGCAGCACCCCTCATAAACAACCATGACCCCCAACAAACAATAAACAAAAACTGCCTCTGCCTGGACAGGGGCCCGAGGGCCGGCCAGCGCTGTGTTCTCCTCGGTTATATTCCGAGTCCCACCTTGGGTGGCTCCTTCCCCCCTTTTTTCAATTTTGGGATTTTTCAGTTATTTTCAGTCGACACCTTCTCAGTTCTGAACGCGTGGCTGCCCTCCCCGCACCCCAAAGAAGAGCAGAGGCCCTTTTAAAAAGGTCAGGTTAAATTGGGTTTCTTTCTGGGCTGGTGCCGGGGCTGAGGGGTACAGGGCTGGATCCCCGGCCACCCTCTTGTCTGCTGAGCCACCGTCTAGTGGGTCCCCAGCATCTCTGACCCCGGGGGTCGCAGGAATTGTTTTCTCTGGTGGCTCCTAGCACATGTGGCCAAGCGGAATCTTATTTACCTCCCTCATTGTCATTCTGTCTCTCCCTCTGCGCGTCTTCTCTCTCTCTCCCCTTGACAGACAGCTGAGCAGACGCTGGCCTCTTCATCAGCCCCGCCACCATGTTTGTAAACGCTCATTACTGTGTGAGCCTCAGGACAGAGGAGATTTTAAGGCCAAATTTCAAAATCAGGCCATTTCCAATGAACTGTGTTGTACGACAAGGCGACACTTCTCTGTTCCTGCTTCTTTATTTTTAACGAAAAATGACTGTGAGGAACGGTCTGGCTGCCGAAGTGCCAGGCAGTAGCCAGCCTTAAATTTTTCAGGCTGCCTTAATCAATAAAGTTATCACCAGTCATTTCCCTTGATAACTGCCTCTGCCCAGACCCCGGCTGGCTTCTCACTGCCAGGAGTTCTCAGCCTGCACTTGGAATGGATAGGACTCCCCAAATCCAATTTTCATTTTAACCTTCCCTCAATAGCCTAGAAATAACACATTGCTGGCATTACTCTAATAGATGGGAAATTCAAACCTCTTAGAGGCAGCCGGGCCCTTTCTGAGATCCAGTAATAAAGCAAAGAATAACATGCCTTAAACGGTACTTCTAGAAATACCTAATTCTCATGGTGTAGCCTTCTGAATCAGTGGGTGGTTTTATAGCTTCATATTGAAGACAGATGACATGACCATTTGGGTACTTTTCTGGAATCATAAGATGGCCCATCGGTTATAAATCATGGAGGTTTAATGGGAATGAGAACTGTTCAGGCCAGTGTGCTTAGCACTGGAGCCGATACACAGCAGCTGAGGAGCTGGGGCACCCATTTCACAGATCAGGAGCCCAGGGCTGGGACCTTGGAGCCCTCTGTGATGGGCACACCCCAGCACTGTCCCGCACCCTGTTTCATGAAACCCTTGCTCCAGGCCTCTGGCACCTGCATTTCATCTTGAGGCTGAGCAGGATTTCTTATCTCCAGCTCTATTGACATTGGGGCCAGAGCATGGCGGGTCACCCGTAGGGCCTGTCCATGCATTGT